GCCCAACATTGTAGTCGGTTGGCTATGTAGACCGGGATGCCCTTTTTCGAACCAAAGATAGTCAACAAGAACTTGTGATCTGTCAGAAGCTTGAAGCGGCGGCCGTACGGCGTTTTGTGGAATTACTGGACCGCGTACACTATAGCCAATGCTTGTTTCTCGATCTGGCTGTAATTTCTTTTGGTTTTCGTAAGTGTTCAGGCGGCATGGGCGATTGGTTTCTGAGATCCATCGGTGTGCGAAATTACTGCGCCAATGCCATGGCTTGACACATCTGTGGTTAGGACAATCTCTTTGGAGGGATCAGAATGAGTCAAAAGCAAGTTTGAGGACAGCAATATCTTGACTCGTTCGAAGGCATTCTGTTGTCCAGTTCCAAGTTTGACTTTTGGCAAGGCGTGGAGCACTGCCAGATGCTCAACTTCTTGAATTACAGTACACCGGCGACATAGCCTCTATCTGTTTTAGCTCCCAGACGTTGCACTCGACAGATTAGCACTGGCTGTCAGCCGTTTCGGACTATGCTTTGCATCTTCGAAATTTCTTCTCCAATCTTGACAGGGACCCACCTTTGCACTGCCCCTTGTGGAGATCACTTAGAAGTCGTTGAGAAATTAAAGTATCTGGACAACCATGTGAGCGCCTGGGAAATGGAGGATGATATCACGAACCGTTTACCGAAAGCTTGAGGTGCTTTTGCTAATCTTCGTTACCTCTGGTGGCGGCGCGATATCGCTCTCGGTCTGAAGGGCCAACTTTCAATGCAGCCGTTCGTTCAACCCCTGTTTGCTAGCGAAACCTGGTCCACCAGGCTTGTTAGGTTTGATTATCGCTGCCTCTACAGGTTAGCTCATGTCTGATGAGAACGTTGCGTGGGCAATGAGCGTGTTCGGCGTCGTGTACTTGGTGCTGGAAGAGGGAGTGAACCGCTCAGCACTATTATTACACGCACCTGGCTGCGATGGCTGGGCCACGTGTTGTGCATGTCAGCGCACCGACTCTCGAGACGTGCGTTGTTTGCGCGCCCGGTCTGTGATGGAAAGTGAGGTGGGTAAGGCCGTGATAAGTTGGTCCAAAGGAATGAAGGCCTTCACTTATAACTTGGCGTCGGTTGGTGTCTCGCGACTGCCGCACTGAGGTCCGAAGGACGATGATAATGTCTGGATTGACCAGTTGACATGGAGATGGGCCGACCTCAATCGACATTTTGTTATGAGTTTCTTTGTCTTTCCCTCCCTTTTAACTTCTCCCTTCGTCGACGACCTCCCACCCTGTGCGTTATGCGATATTTGGCATTGTATTGTCTCTTTAAGTTTTCGAGTCTGGATTGTCTAATTTCTTGTCTTTTTGCATTGTGACGTAATAGCTAAAGTGCGTTTCTCTCTCAGCTGTCGTGTGTTTCGGATTGTCGGCCGTTGTGTGCGATGGTGGATTACAACGGGGTCGGTTGTACTACTAATGCTCCAGTTGGCGTTCTTTTAATTATTATCTATATGTTCGAGGCACCTGTTCACCGTTCTGGGATTGTAGGAATTACCTAATGACACCTGTGTCTGCAACTCGGAAGACATCAATGACGATTTTTGTCAGCAGTCGGCATCCGTTGTCCGTGTGGCTTTGAATTCGGCTGTGGTGATTGTTGCTGGTAACGTTGGTTATCAAGCAGGTTGTTTATGTATCTCCGTGCTTATCGTACGATACCAACGGTCGGCGCCACTGTCCAATGGTAATGTCCATATTACTTTACCTGGTATCCCACCGAGTGAATCCCCTAACTTGCACTCAAATTATACCTGATACTAGTATTGACACAGCGCTCGTCCAGGAATGTCCATCGATCTTGGGCACACTTAAATTCTGGTCATTTCGTCCAGCGCACATGCCCGGATCTCGTTCTCACGTCTTCATCGAAATACTCAAATTCATTGATCCTTACTCACTTGTGTTTATAGTCTACAATTCAGTACTATCAATGCGTCCTAGGTCGTTAGTTGGCACTGATGAGCAGGGCAGACGAATCAAATGACTACATGAATCGTCCTCAATGTTCCATGTAAGTCACCTGACATTCCAACTGGGGTTGTCTACACTGTGGATAAATTTCTGAAGCATCGATCAGTTTGATCAAGACATGTGACCTATTTACTTTGGGTATTCAGTTTTGGCGTGTTCGTGACACCCTGAAATGACGTTTGACAGAGGCCTTAGTTACGCGCTCGGGTTGGTGGTTATCGAGTCCGTTGCGATTTGAAACAACCGCATACTGCACAGTCTTTTCTCAAGCAGTAGCTTAATAGCCCTGATATTTGATCTGTTCTCAACCACGTCGACTAACACCAGGTGGCAACTAAAATCCAACCGAAAATGATCGACTCCATATGGAGACTGTGTACTGTTTGTCGGGAATATACAAACTTATTTATTTACTTTAATGTGAAGAAAGACCGTCCTGACCATTTTCGGCAGAATCATCCCTATTTGTTTCCACCGAATTCATGTCCATTATGTGGCGCAGGAAACTGTCCATGGAACATGCTTTTTCGTGGAAGTTAATTGGGCTCTGATTTTGACTCCCTTTTGAAGTTTTCAAGGAGCCGGATCGTATTCGACCGGAATCATCTAAATAATCTAAACTAGAAATGCAAAGAATTTTTGCGGAATAGCAACGAACTTACTACAACAGCAGACACTGATGGATGCACAATTGAGACTAAGTGAAAGATTGGCGCAACAGCTCATTCCGCAATCTTCAGAGACTCCATTTCAATTCCATTACTGAATTCAACAGGGATGAAAATTCCGAACATCCTTCGTAGGGTATTCCAAACGCTCAGATGATATCTTCCCGATGGATTTCGATCATCATTATCATTCCTTAAACATGCTCCTGTTTCTGCGCAAGCTTGGTTCGTATTTCACATATAACTAAATCGGCGACAATATCTCACTTTTGATGACGCGGTGTCACAACTCTGGAATGGCATTTTCTCAGTCACCACTATTTAATGCTCGCTATCAATTTGAAGATAGTCAATCGAGGCGCAGACGATTACAGGTCGTTGGTAGGCACAGTCAACCATGAATGTATACGCTTTGACGGTGCTCTACAGTGCCGAGTTTCGCACACTATCATGTCCAGGTTAGATAATGACCCGTATCCGATGTTGGCGTCCACTGAACCCCACCGGAGTTTGCGTGTTGTGTATCCAAAACATTTTCCTAAAACACCTGTTCTTACCAAACTCAGGCTGCGGTGACGATGCTTCTTGCTTCTGCCCTTGGCCTCCCAAAAGTATCGGAATATCTTCATCGTCTTGAGAGTGCAGGGTGTTGCGGGTAAGTTGTGTATTAAAGAACTAACGTCTAGATATTGTAATAGTTCGAACATAGAAACTTAGGTTACTTTGCACACTTTCTTCAGGGTACCTTCTTGACTCGCCGTTCCGCTGCGTCCCTCCATTCATAAGGTATCCATGGAGGTTGATTTGAGCACGCGGCTTTCGTTTGCGGTGATCCGTGATTGTTCTGATTTCCTCGCGCCTCTTCATTTCCACATATGCTACTCGTTAGTAGTGCATCACAACCGCACCCACGGCATTGGTAAAGCATTTGAGCCTTCGACGACCCATTAAATCCTGGATCTTGGGTAAACTGTTTACCTTCCTTTTCCTGCGTTGCTCGCCGGGTCAAAAAACCATTGATGTTACTTTTGTTCGCAATTGGCTACGACATCATCTAGCAGTGAAGTTATTTTCACGGCAGATTATAACGGCAGATGTCTCGAAATTGACCTACTCACTAGTGCCACCCCAAGTGTAGCACTTTTAAGCAAACTGTATGAGCGGGTTTCCGATAATGGCCCTCAGTTTACCGTTGTTAAATTCCAAGCCTCCAAATCCAGATGGGAAATTCACGCACAAACAAAACAGCGGTTATACGACCAGATTCTGAAGGGCCGAGGAAGAATTGAGGCGATTCAAAATACCATTGTCAATTCCCAAAGGAACTCGAAACTACTGGTGCTTCCCACTTTTGCCTGAGATGGGATGCAACATCTGCACCACTCTACTTCCGCGCGACACATTGTCTCGATTGGGGCCACAGCTTGCTTTATAGCAAACTTCTACCATATTCATTACTAGGACCGCATTTATAGTGGAGAGTTTCGGAGCTGCTCTCTCAATACTGCACTCCACGACCGAGCGGTTTCCTTCTGATTTGGGCTCGTCAGGTAGGGGTGACCTGAACTGAGAGTGAAACCCGACACATAGGAGTTGACGGCTTACGCCTTGGCCGCTAAGCCAGCGCTCCGCGAGCAGTGTTTGACGCAGCTGTTAGGAGTTCAATGCTTGATTCCGGTATACCAATTAAAGTCGGCGTATTGAACGTCGTCGTGAAATTTTGGTTGCTTTTTGTCGTCCAGCATCATCCTTGGGTGCGATCAAGTACTTTTTGGGACACATGAAGGCCCTGCATTTCTTATTTCGCGAATAAATTGTCTGAGCGATTCGCGCTTGCGATACCTAGTTTGAAAGCGTTTACAGATCATTGGGAGTAAGCATGAGTGGATGTCGTGTTTGTTTGATTTGTTCATTTTAATTCATCCGCGGTGTGATGTAGGCCAACGCAGGATCAGCTGACCCAGCGCGCATTATTTATGCCTTTCAACCGTGTCTCGGTCTGTCTTTTCCAAATGCTACTTACTACTACTTTACTTACCACTACTACTACTACTTACTACTACTACTACTACTACTTACCATTACTACTACTTGCTGCTACCGCTACTTACTACTAATACTAATACTGTTACTACTACCACTACTAATAATAATACTAGTCATACTACTACTAACTACTACTAGTACTACTACTACTACTACTACTACTACAAATATTACATTTTTTAATCGATGCCAGCAGCTGCATTTTTCCTCTACTGGTTTGGTTTCGCTCTCATCCCTCTGGTTTTTATTTTCTCGATTTTGTCCATTTTCCAGTCCGGTAATTGACTCTGCTTGGAAACATGGGCTATCGATCAAATCCAATTTCGATCAAATGGGTATTGCCTATGATCCTAATGAAGTTCTAAAAATTTCTAACCGAGGAGTAAGTTTTCAATCTTGTTTGCCACTTTTTATTGAGCAAGTTCTTCCAAGGCACTGGATGTACTTCTGTCCCGCGAATTAGGAAGAAGACAAAAGTTATTCAAGGTTCTTGTCCTAATTTACCCTTAAAGTTTATGTTTTAGCCCTTGAAAATGCTGCTGCTAACAGTAAAAGCAGACCGTTATTCATGTCAGAAGACGATCGACTCTTTTGCATATACAATTTGGAACAGTATGGTGAAAATTATAAGGTAGTCATCCACTATAGTGTGCTCCTATCGATTTTCTTAGGAGATGGCTCGTGATGCACGCAATTTGTATCAATTAACCCCTAACCAGCTGGAACGACTGATTGAAAAATTTAAGAAGACTACACACTATCAGGATTATATTACTGAGAAGAGACTGGGAACATTCAACATTGCGGATCTTTACAATATTGCAGTCGCTTGATGCCCAGCCATTGATTATTGATCCCATTGTATATATGCATTGCACTTTGGTGAATACAGTTTCCTTCCGCCTGAACTCTGTGCGTTTTGACAGGGGCTGCCTTTAGGTAAACAACAGTCTACGAGTTTTGCGTTTTACTCGATCAGTTTAGACGAATGACAAGGATTGTTTCAGACGACTGGAGAGTATAGGGATTGCTCATTGGTCGATTACTGTCCGTCTCAGACCGGGTGGGTTCTTGCAAGTATTCCGCAATATCACCAATATTTTGGTCCACATTTGGCCGTGTCTGTTAGCGTATCGTACGGTACCATCGAAATAGACATGCCAACACCAGGGCCACGTTTTCGGCCCTAGGTAGGTCTCTGGAGTTGAGACTATTGCCGCTGTTTTAACTGTTAGTTATGACCGGCCAAAGCCAATGTGCTGTGCTAACTTTTCATTGGCTGCTTGGAATACGCTAACTCTACCCATTTGCTGTATTAAATGCCCGAGTGATCGATCGGTAAAGATCATGTCACGCGTTGTAATTGCCTGCTTGAGTACCGATATAAATTCTACTTTCGACTGCTACTTTTTTGATCCGGGCCCAAAGATGAACCTTTCCACTCAGCCCCCATCTCCATTTTGGACGGTCTGCGATAGCAGTCCAAAATCGGATGTCTGTCTTCCTTGGTTAACGTCCTCCCAAAACTACTTGGATTTAATTAGTTTTCTCCATCTTGCTCTTAGTGAAGAAAGCAAATTGAAGCTGCTACGACATTTACTCTGGGATGAGAGGCAGCGGCATTTCGATGATTTGGGACTTCAAAGAGCTGACGTTTAGATTTCGGGGCTGCGAAATTCTTCGTTGCTTAGCGTTTCTCTGAAAGCTGCTGAACTTGGTCATTCCCTACAATGGACGTTTGAGCAATCTGTGACCTTTTGCAACTGAGCTTCAGACCGGCTTCCTCCAGTCGTCTTAGTACGGTTGTGAGTCAGGCATTATGTTCAAGTTCCGTCACCGAGAAGATATTGATGTTATCGACATGGACAACTACATCAGAGGTTCCCAGAACCATCAGCGGTAGCCGTCTCAATGTCGCCAGGGCGTTGCACAATTCAAACGGCATTCTCCAGAATTCATACTGCTGGCCATTCACGCTGCAAGCTGTTTTATGACCATCTTCTGCGATGGGAAGTTGCCAGTATCCTGAACGGAGATCTATCAAGGAAATCAGCTTGGCATTGTGAAGATTGGAAAAGATTTCTTCCATTTGTGGCACCGGGAATGCATCCTTCTCCATCACTCTGTTTAGCTCTCTGAAATCGATGCAGAATCTGTAGGTTCCGTCCGCCTTTTTCGTCCGCAATACTGGTGATCAATACGGGCTGTTTGTTCGCCTAATTATCCCTTTGGCCTCCATCTCAGCCACCTGCTTCAGTATCTCCGTCAGAATGTTCTGTAGTATCCGCCTGAAAACTGGCTTGCACTGCCCACCTGGGATTATGAGTATCTAGTGTTCTACCCACTTGCAGAATCCGTAAGCATCATTCGCTTCCGTGAACAAATACGCGTACTTGTGCCGTACATCCCGTATTGTGCTGGTCCAGCACTAGGGAAGGACCGTCATGGCATCTATCTGGTCGCATTTCCCTGTGCTCATCTCAATCGTTTTGCTGCCAACTATCGCAACCTTCTTTCTGAAATCAGTCGTGGCACCGAGCCGCTTAAAAATGTCGTTACTGATGATTGTTTCCGTTGCCCCTCGACGACAAACATGGAATGGATGATGACCGTTTCCACAATCCTCACTCGCACTCGCTGTGCCCCTGTCATCTTCAAGCAGTGTCCTCTGATCGTTTGTATCGCGATTGATGACTGATCTACCGGGACACTGTCGAACATTCTGTTATGGAAACCCCTTCCCGTGTCCACTATCACACTGACCACGACACCATCAATTGTTATCTCAAGAAAGCGTACACTCCAACGATCCGACATGGATAGCGAGAAACAATGATAAAAATTTTCTGTATGTACAATATGCAGCATAATGACCAACCTGGTTGCATCAGAAACAGCGGCGTCCATCTCGTCTTCCGGACTCATTGCGTTGTGTCCCCGTTCTCGGCGCTTCTCTCAACAGCCTTTCCACCACCCGCGGTTGCTGATCCACTTTGCGTTGCAACTCTGACGGCTGGATTTTTCCCATCGTCACAGGCTCCGAAAAGCTTTGGGCCATATCCACAATCTCTGCTGACCTCAACCATGAATGCCAATTTCACCTTATCCTGTATGGGTTTGCGTAGATTTCGGACGAATTGGCCTCTTAGCAGCCGTTCTCTCCCGTCACCATCCAACTTCGAAAACGCAATCTTCAAGTGTCTGTTCCGCCTCTGCAAGAACGCCATCAGCTCTTTCTGTTCCTCCCATTTTGCTGAGTGAAATTGTTCCAGCGCTGATTGTCGGTCGATCTCCTTCCCGAACTCTGCACAAAACGCCGCATTCATCTCAGCAAACAAGCATCCAGCCTTGACTTTCCGAGTTAGTAGGTATGTCACCTTCGCTTTTCCTGCCAGTAGCGTGCCTCAGGCACTCAGTAAATTGGTATCCCCTTTGACCCCGTTACACACCGCAATCGCCTCAACCTCCTCCAACCAAGCTTCCACATATCCGCCTGCAAATGGCGCTGGCCAGATTAGCTTCATCCTGATTGATCACGGCACCAGTGTAGCAAGAACGACGCGGCAATGAACCACCATCTTCATTGACATGATCACAAGCTATCCGACCACTCACTCAGACGCACATAAATGAGTCACGCTTCCTTCCCACGACGCACCATTTCTCCTGGCCTCCGCTCGCAACACGTCTGTGCACTTTCGGGACCTCGCGTTGCAATATTTTCTGCCCATTTCTCCCCCGTATCTCCGCTTCTACGCGTCCCATTCTGCTCGGCCCGGAGTCGTTCGAAAGCTCGTGATTTGCTTGACCATGGATGCACCACTCTGATTGGGGTCGGTCCTGGATGCTGCAATAAGGGCACTTTTGTCCGATTTATTGCCTTTTCGACGCTTACCCACTCTGCTCTGTTTGGCTCAGACTCACAACCAGCGGCGTCAAGAGAAAGAACTCACACGGGCTCTGCATACAAGCGTTCTACTCACAAGTCCGAGCTTATGTACAATTAGTTGTGTTTTTCAAAACTCACTCGCCCACTCGGTCGATCGCCTGATCGACCACACTGAGGCAGGCGATTCATTTCGCCCCAGCTCTCAGCCACCATCACATCCTTCCCTTCTCCTGTTTTTGTTCTGGTATTGCAGGTTCCGGATTGCCTTTCACTGCGGCAGAGCTTTCGAACCTCGGTTGCGATCTTAGTTGACTTATTCTGCTGATGCGGCTTCTCGTCCGAGTGCAGAGCCTGTTCACCACACCGCTTTTTCAGCCGCATTCGATAGCTTCCCTTTATTTTCCGACTCCCACCTGCTCTTACGATGCCCTTCAACTCTAGGTATCTGTTTAAATGATGCTTCATCTCCAGGCGCTAGAGTATGAGGCTGTCTTGGTTCGTGTTTGTGACGCGTCTTTCGCCGCTTTCGCAGACGGTCTTGCAGACGATTAGTGGAAATTTTTTCGGGTTGCAAATGTACGGTGGCTCCACTATCAGCTTACGGTTGAACTAGTTGTCCTTGAATCGGCAGTTTTGCATTAGCGCATCCATCCTCCTCATGATCCCACTTGTTATTTACTGAAATCTGTTGAGCTTCTTGCTGATTTACGCTATCCAGTGACCTAACGTTGGTCGATCGATAGCAACGGTGAACTGGTTTAATCGGCCTTCACAATATTCACCAAATCTTTTTAGCGTTTCTGAAAGATCCGGTTCTTGGTCGTGATCGCAGAAATTCCCGGCGTTTAGTATCCGCATCGCAACATGGCCGATGGCGTACCTGAACATGGCTAACTGATATGGCAAAGGATATTCACCCAACTCGACCAGTGTCGCGAAGTTCATCCACTTCGCTTTCCACAGGCGCCAGTTTTCGGGCAGCGAACTCTCCGTCATCTGTAATTGAGTCGCCCTGGCTACAAACGGCTGCCAGCCAAAGCAAAGCTGCTGATTGCTCATCGGGTTCTTCTCTTCCTCTGTCACCATGTTGCTTGCCTGATTCTCCCAGCCGCTTCAAAAGAAAGAACTCACACCGGCTCTGTACACAATCATTCTATTCACAAGTCTGAGGTTATGTGCAGTTATCTGTGTTTTTCAAAACTCAGTCGCCTAAATGACCTCACTGAGCAGTCGATTCGCTTCGCCCTAGCTTTCAGCCACCATCACACGTATCTCCGCTTCTACGCGTCCCATTCTGATCGGCTCGGAGTCGTTCGAATGCTCGGATGCATCACTCTGCTTGGGGTCGGTCCTGGGTGCTGCAATAACAGCGCTTTTGTCTGATTTATTGCGTTTTCAACGAATACACACGCCGCTCTGCTTGGCTCGAACTCACAACCGGTCGCCGTCGGTGTCCCGTTCTCGTCTCGTTTCTTCAGGTCAGCGTAGCTCCGTCTGCCCTCCCTCATTGCGCCTGTTTTCGTGGTCTTTCTGTCCTTCGGGCAATACTTTCCTTCTGAATCCCAACATTGTCGCTCATTAAAGCTGCATTGCTATTGTTAGATGCTACTAATTTCCTCGTTTGTTTTCATAACTTTTATTTTCACCTGTTTTTAATTCGACTCATCTAGACGCTACTTGCTGCGTAATTTCAACTGTCAAATGTGTAAATTCATGGAGTGGATGACGACTAGCTCAACCTTCTTGACCTCATTTGGGAGCGTAGTCCTTTTGAGCGCCTGCTTGAAGGGGGGTGATACTACCCCCATGGGAATGGCGAACACTTTACTTGATTTATGAGTAGTCACAACATCCCTTCCAAAGCGTGCTGAATAATCTTAGAACCCAAAGAAACATCGACAATATTCCTCAGCTTCTAATTAACAGCAAACTATCCAGGAATTTGTCTACATCCATAGAGAATCTAGCAGTCCAATGACTGCAGCTGAGAACGGCTTTTAAAATGATGGGTTGCGATCC